AAATAATAGATAAATTCTCCCCAAAATAAGATTTTTATATTTTTTGAAATATTGGCCAATACCATTTGGAGTTTTACAAACATGTTGTAAAATCCAGAAATGCAAAAAAATAATTTTCGTTGTGTTTAAGAAATCCATGCGAAAACATATTTTTCAAAACTTTCAATAGTTTTTTTGTATAAAAAAAACGTTTAAAACATGTTAGGGTTAAAATAAATATGCTAGAAAATCATCAATCTTTCTCTATTTCTTTTTTTGAAAATAAAAAGATGAAACTAGTAGATCCCACTGGGTCACTTGCCAAATGACCTGAGTGGTTCAAGTGAATTCACTTTAACAATAAACACAAAAGGCATGCATAGTAGCTATGTAATTAAAATGCAAAGTGAAGAGAATGCATGGAAACTTACCTGGCGCTGAAACGGGCGAAGGTGATGGCACTGAGACGACTAGGCGCTGCTTACGAAGGAAGATCCGGCCTGCTTATCACAGCAGAAATAGAATTTCTGTCATGCAGGAGAGTTTCTGATGTGGCTTTAATAGAGGCTGGAAAAAAAAAACATCCTGCTATCATGTTACTGCTGCTGTTTGCCGCTTTGGAGGAAGGATCCCTGTTACTGTGTTGCTCTTGCTTATTGCTGCTCACAATGTTATCATCTCGTTCACAGGTGGAGGAAAGTCTTCTGCTGGCATGGCAAACGATCGACGCCCTTGGAGTCTTGGTTTTCTGCTCCTTCTGTACTGTCCTTCAGCCTCCCCTCTTATCTCCCCATCTTCTCCGTAATGAGCTGCTATTAGCAGCGGAGAGGAAGGGAGAGTGAAGGGCTGGCGCAGCCCGTTCTCTGGTCAGGAGAAGACGAGGTTATTCTGTGGAGAAGACGAGGTTGTTCTATATATTTGGCCAGGGGTTTCTCTAGTGTTCTTCTTTAGCAGAGGGGCGGCAGTCAGGGTCTTCTAGTTTACTTCAAAAGGAAAAGGAAATGAGGGGAGTGGAGATGGGAAGGGAGGTCTTGGCCGAGAGAGGGAGATTCTAATGAGGGCAAGACACGGGGCTATGAGTAGGAAACATGGGAAAATGGTTGGCTATGGGTAAGAGGAGAAAGGGGTTGTGGCTTTAATGAGGTTCTTTTGCGAGGGAAGAATGGAGATGGGGGACTAACAAAGAGGGGAACTACTGTGTTTTGGAGGAGAGATGGCGATGGTGGAACGACCGAGAGGGGAATGGGGGTTCTGGTGAAAGGGAGAGGGGACAGTGTATGGCCAAAGAGAGATCCTTAGTTTCTTCAAAGGGAGGGGCTGCTTCATTGTTTTTATTTTTTTAAAACATCAGTAGGAGCTACGGCTTCTTTGCTAGAGAAATAGGGTTAGGCCTTTTTTTTTTTGCTAAAAATGAGCAGGTTTTTTCTGTGTTTCCTCTTATTTTTATTTGTCTCTCTGCCCCTTGTAAATTTTTCTCCCCCCCTTGCCTATTGTTCTGTGTTTATTTATATAGAAGTTCTTTATATATGCTATTTAAGGAAATATCACAATAATTATTATATAGATTGTCTTTTATAACTAGCATCAACAAATCCTATATATATATGGTATTTTATATTGCAGAGATTGTATTCCATAACCAGCTATAACAAATCTTGTATACATGGTATAACAAATCCTGTATACTAGCAATTATTTTCCATAACCAGTACGAAGCAAATCATATATATGATTTAGTAATTATTTTTTTAACATATTGCTTCCTTAAAATTAGCTCTCCCAAACTCTATGTTATTATTTTTTTTTTTATTTATCAAAACATGGGTCAAAAATCAGGTAGCAACATAAACAATCAAGTTACTAACTTTAATTTTCATACTTTTCATGTTAGGAGTATTGGTATCACACAATATTAGTACAATGAGGCTAGAATTTTTAAAAATTAGATAGTGTTTATATATAACAATACATGATATATGTATTAACTTTAATATTTTTTTAAAAAATAAAACCTTAATAGATCAATTTTTTATTAATTAATGTATAAATTAATAAATTATTAATTTATTATTTAAATAATTTCTTAATTAACTAACAAATTTTCATGAACCTAAAAATATTAATTTATAGAGATTTTGTTGTACTTTTATTTTATATTCTAAGTCAACATAATATAGCATATTTGTCCAAACACAACATGAGATAAAATCAGGACAACTATTTCAAACAACCATGTTTAAATCAACCGGTTGTTATTATAAACCACCTCCTTCTTTTATATATATATTGTAAAAATAAAATTGATTCAAAATTAAAGGATTTTATTAGTTTCAGGTATAGTTTTGAAATCCAACCCAGTGATGACCCGGACCCGGATCAACCCAAAAAAATAAATAAAGAAATTATTAATTACATGTAGGGGCCGGTTAAGAAGGAAGAGCTCACGTGGGCTCCATTATCAAATTAACGAAATGAGGTGAGATTTGTCTTCCACTCGGATTTGAAACATTTTTTATTTGAGTTCAAGGCATAAAGCCCTAAACAATGGAGAGTAGTTGAGAACTTCTCCTACAATCCAAAAGCTAGAAATCTACTTGCTCTCCTACATTCTCTCTTTGTATTAGAGCATTTATTTACTTTCCTCTTTTTTTTTTTCTATTTGTTGAGATATTACCCTCCAATCAAAATTATTAATCATAAATGGGTTTAAAGTTTGCCACAATAGGTAAAGAATCAATTGATGAGGTTTTTTAAGATAATGCAAGGGCACTTGGTTGCCACAGTTAGGGCAAGTATTTCTGGTAATGGTGGGAATGGGAATAATGAAGAGAAAAGGAAGACAAAGATTTCAAATGAGAGGATTTAAAGAGGTCATTTGTTGATTACTTGTAAAAAATACAGTTGCCTCCAAAGATTAGATCTTACGAACTATTGTTGTCTTTCTCTGTCAGGAAGATAGCCGAGTCTCAACTAGGTTTATCTAGATTGACTAGGTTTCAGGTCAACCTGATGAATTGACTGGGTTTTGCTAGATTAACTCCCAGGGTTCTTGTTATACGGGTTGTCATAGTATTTATTTAAATCTTCGGCGAGCCTGTTATAGCGCGAAGAGACTTCTACGATTCCTTGGCAAAGTTTGTTAATCAGCTTAGCCACATCATTACTTTCTCCAAGCATATTAACAATAACTTTACTTTTAATGAGCAAATCTGCATCTTCTTTGGTATCCACAAGACAATCCAAGAATATAACATACTCGCAGATGACCGCTTCATAAGGATAATGACACTGCTCCAGCGCCATCAGGTTTCGAAAGATACAATCAGTATGATCGTCAATCACAAGGATTGGAACATGTAACTCACCTTTCTTGATAGAATCATCTTGCGTCCATGATCTTATGTTAATTAAGTGTTCATCAGGCTTCGGCTCGAACTTTATTCCTGCTTGGTGCAGCCTAGTTGTACTATGAAGTAATTTAATTGGCGAGTCATGTGGTTTCGGAGGACTGGTTTGTTTCTTGTTGTGCATCTCAAAGAACTTGCGAGTACGAACCGGAAAAGTTATACATGGACAACAGCTATCGGGTTTAGGTACACAAGAGCAACAGGTTTTATCGGTTTCAGGTGGACTTGGGTTGACGGGAAGCAAAAAATATCTTACCAGATCAGTGAAATGTAATGGTTTCTGAAGACAGGTCTGTTTCTTGTTGTACGTCTCAAAGAACTTGCAAGCAAGAACCGGAAAAGTTATACATGGACAACAGCAATCGGTTTTAGGTACACAAGAGCAACAGGTTTTATCGGTTTCAGGTGGACAAGAGCAACCAGCTTTAGGTGGACAAGAGCAGGTTATAATGTATTTGGAGACAATACCATACAAATCATCAAGAATCCAGAACGGCAGCTGATTTTCGAGTAATATCAGGTCCCGTTGCACAGCAAGTCTCAGCCAGGGTTTAGCTATTATATAATCGTTCTTGTATTTCTCTGTATCTTTTTTGCCTTGAGGTTTGTCTTTATCTTCCATAAATTCTCTATCCCAGGTGGACAAGAGCAACCGGTTTTAGGTGAACAAGAGCAAACGGTTATAATGTATTTGGAGACAATACCATACAAATCATCAAGAATCCAGAACGGCAGCTGATTTTCGAGTAATATCAGGTCCCGTTGCACAGCAAGTCTCAGCCAGGGTTTAGCTATTATATAATCGTTCTTGTATTTCTCTGTATCTTTTTTGCCTTGAGGTTTGTCTTTATCTTCCATAAATTCTCTATCCTTCAAGAAGAGCTCAAAGATGAATACAGCATCCCATAGAATCATCTTCCAGAACACCTTTTGATCCTCGCAACGTTTAGAAGAATCATCTTCAGAACAATCGAGGATTTCAACTTCACAACCCTTCGGATCCTCGCGAGGTTCAAATGCAGCATCTTCATAACAATTGCGGATTTTAACTTCACAACCCTTTGGATCCTTGCAAAGTTCAAGTGCAGCATCTTCATAACAATTGCGGATTTTATCTACACAACCTGTAATGGTCTTCACAAGTTCCTCCAGAACCGGTTTCTGTTTTTCCGCCGGCAGTCTGTTAAAGAACTGTTTGAAATATCTTCGCTTCAGTTCTTTTATAACTTGGTTTTCATTCTTTTGGTGAATTGGGCCTATACAAATCACCTGAGGGGTATAGGCATCTTTATTTACTTGACGAATGTCTACCGGGACATGGTAGATACACATCTCTTCCGGCAAGGTTGTTTGCATGCTATCTGGAACTTCCTTCAAAAGCCCTTCAATATCAATTGAAGTGCTCGCTGAACCACTGCCACCCATCTGTCTAATTTCACTGCTCAAATGACAATAAATGTCTGTCATTACCCCAGGGAATCAATTTTTTTATATATAAAAAAAAACCCTACTCCCTATTTTTAAGTATTTGATCTCCACAATAGAATCTTTCGGGTTGAAAACTTGCCCCCAACCTGTCCCATCCCATTTATTGCTAGGAATTAAAAAAAACCCTACTCCCTATTTTTAAGTATTTGAACTCCACAATAGAATCTTTCGGGTTGAAAACTTGCCCCCAACCTGACCCATCCCAATTATTGCTAGGAATTACTCCTAATTGTTTGATGTTCATTTTCCCGGATGCCTTTGTTATTTGGGACCCATTAACTTTGTCTCTTATTTGGTTTTCTAAGCTGGGTTGTTTCTTCTAGAGCATCTGCTAGCTTCGAGTCATATTTTTTTTCTTTTTTGAATAGCTAGCTAGCATCATTAAAGAAAAAATAAATTAGACCATTTCATTGCCGGCTGGACTCCAGGGTAAAAATAATGTTAGTAAGACAAAAAAGATTTGAGAGGTTGATATCACACAAATTAGGAAGATTCACATATTGAATGATTTTAGTGACTGGACCCAAACCTTTAAAGTAGAGGTAGAGCTATCCGGACTCTTCAAATCCCCAGCTGCAGAGAGTAAGGTCGTTACTGTCCCAGGCGAATAGCACAAGAGCAAGCTGTTTGTCCAGAATTAAGAGCTCTCAACTGGAACCTGTGCATATATGGCTCAATCAAGGAATATCCATGCATGTAGAAAACAAAAGGAAATACCGAGCAGAAAATGGAGCTAAAAATTCATTATTGTATGAATAATCCATGGTTTTCCAATCAAACGCAGTGATTTGAATTTTATCTGTATGGTAATGAGGTCATGAAACTTAATTCCGAACCGGCCAAGTCATTTGGAGTTTAATATTAACCATGCTGCAACTCGAAAATTGTTCTTGTTTTTTCTCAGCATAGGTATGAGCTTATGCATACGGTATATAAACAAAGGAAGAAAAGGGATATTGGGCCACAAATGGGTGATTCAGTTAAAAGAATTAAAAGTTGAACTGACATCAAATAGATTGCAACATATTGAATGAAGACATTTTAGAAGGTGAAGAAGATAAGAGAGGAGAAATAAACCTTGGAGGTCTTAGGGTGAAAGAAGACAGAGGAGAAATAACATTGGAGGTCTTTCTATAATGCCTTTTCCATAACATGCGTTGCTTCCACATATATATAAGGCCGCTGCTAGCTCCTTGTTATCATCAAACACGTGGTTTGTTTTGATTCGAGTATCTAGATCAAAGTGTTCGAAGGTGTTTCAATAAGCCTCTCAAGCTGTTTCTTCAATTTTTACGCCGAGAAAAGATTTTTAATTTATTATAATTAAATATAAAAACATATTTTTTAAAAAATTTAGAATTTAAATAAGTTTAGATCTATTAATATATAAAATAATAAGTCATGGTAAACATGATTTTAATATAAATATATATAAAAAATACAAAAATACATAAGCATATATTCAAATTTGCAATATATATAAGATCAAAATCCTAACATGCATGCTAATAAATAAAAATAACAACTTTTAAATTAAAATATTTAAAGAAGAATATTTATTTGTTGAGACATTTTAAATGATTAAAATTTTTGTTGTTGTTAAAGATAAATTCTTTATTTTTAAAGCTTTATTGCTTGTTGCTATATAATTAGAATATTTGTAATATACTTTACAAGATTCCAACAATACTATTTGGGTATTTGATTTAGAGGTGTTACTAACTTTTTTTTGGGGAGAATCATAGAAAAAGCATATATTTTTTTTTATTTTTATGAGGTGTGGTTTGTGATTTAAAAAAATTATGGCATTGAAAAAAGACCACCACATCTTTGTTTTGATGCACTTTCAAATCAAGATTTTTGAATTAAAATAAAAAGACTTAGTTATATTCCAATAAAGCTCTAGATTTGTTGGGAGGAATACCAAAGCATAAAAGAAAGAAGAAGAAAAACAATACTAAAATTAAGATAAGGAAGAGAGTATAAAAATATCTAAAAAATATTGTTTAAACTCTTTATATTATAAAAGTGAATTTTAAAAGCTAAAATGTTAAAAAATTAATTCTCATTATTCAATATTTGATTATCCATTATAAAATATTAAACAAGAATTAAATTTGAATATACTATAAAATATTAAACAAGAATTAAATTTGAATATAGTAGTTATAAATCTGACTTTTTTAAGCTAAAAAAAACTGTTCAAATTTGCTTGAAATGCTTCTGGAAAATTCATGGGATGAATTGTACAGCAATAAGCTAGAAGAAATAATTAATTCTTCATTGATTAGATCCAAGTCTAAATTTTAGCTGGCAAAAATATTATTTTTTATGACCTAAAATATTATTTTACCATAAACTCATGCTTAAACCTGGCTTGACAAGTGCGTGCGTTTAAAACTAAAAGTTTAAAAACTCACTTTACATGGAATCTCTCCCCTCTGAAATCGTGAGACCTTTTAGGTTTAAATTTAATATTTCAATTACCCTTTTATAAATATCAGGAAAGAGTTTTTTTTTATTTCAATATATAATAAAGTTCTTTAGAGGGTTTCGAGTTTTGCTAAAACATGCCAACTAATTTCAATCAATTAACTTGATAAAAATTAAATTTGATCTTTTAAAATTTTAATCTTTTCAATTGAGCCAAAATTAGGCTTCTAAACTTAATTTTTCACCGATTAAGCCCAAAATAAAATTAATTTGACCCATTTAAAGTATAATTAAGTTCTTACACTTAATTAAATCCTTCAATTGGATCCAAATTAATTCTTAAACATAATTAAAATTAAATTTGGCCCATGATTAAATCAATTTAGCTTATTAAAAATTTAATTATGTAATTGGACTCAATTTTTATGCAAATTCGTTCAATAATCATTCAATTTGACCTTGAATTTGTATTTTTCTCTATTTTGGGCATAATGAGGTACAATTAGGCCTTGAATTTCCTCCAAAAAATTATGGCTTGACTTTTTCCTATTTTTGTAGCCCTCCTTTATTTGCTTTCTCAACATTGTCAGCTTTTATTTTATTTTTTGATTTTTATTTTTTTAAAAAAATTAATTTTTAGAGAATAATCCATACCCGGTTATTACAACAATCATACTCTCAATCATCCATTTAGACTTGTTGACTATTGAGGTAACGATGTTCAAGCCCATTTAAGTTCAATAAAATGAAATAGATTGAAGCCAAATTCAATAATCCATCATCATCTTGTTTAAAATCCATTGTTGTTTATAAGTGAACTTTGTGTTATTCTAAGATCTCAATAAAAAAATCATTACTTTTAAGATTGACAAGTTTTTGGTCAAATATAAAAATTTAGATAATTTAATATAAGAATAAATGATGTTGATATTTCACATCGCCTAGGTGAGTATTATATATAATCTTATCTTTTAAATTATAACAAATCATATGATGAGACACTTGAACATTGTAAATAAGCATCTATCTATTTTGATAAGAAACTGTAATTAAATTTTAACCTAGAATTCTTGAAGTAGCTTTCAAGACTTGTTGCATGTACTAACATTTACATGGCAAGTAACAAATATGCTATTTGCTTCACATGTTATAAGAAATCAAGTTGTGCAAGACTATATATGCAAACAAGTCACTAACTTTAATTTGCAAGTTGTCCATGCTAGGAATATTGATATAACACAATATTAATATAGATAAGGATTAATTATTTGTCTTTAATTTTTAATTTGAAAATTAGATAGTGTTCACATATAACAATACATGATATATGCATTAATTTCGATGTTTTGAAAAACAAAAATAGAAACTACCTAGGTAAATTAACTCGTCTATTTTATTAAAAACCAAGACCTATAAAATTAACCCGCCAGGTCACCCTGAAACCCAGGAAACATGGCAAAATCTAGTAGAGATATTTTTTTTTCTCTATCTCAAATATGCTGTTTTCTTTTTTCTAGAGACCCCACTTTTTTCATATTTTTCAATTGGTTACCATCACATTTCAAAGTTTGCTATATAAATACTAAAAGAATATTTTATTTTTTCAATGTGGAATTTAAAACTCTTTAGTATATATACTTTATATCACTACTAGATTTCACAGTTTTATTAACGGACACAATCTATCAGTATAAGATTTAGACTTCATAGGTAAATTTTTTTTCAATTAAATTATCGACGAAAAGTGTCTGTTGGCATCTCTTTCATCAATAATCTCATATTCTGTCGCATTATATGTAATCTTATCTTTTAAAGAATAATGGACCACATGATGGGACACTTGAACATCATTAATAAGCATATGTCTAATTTGAGATAAGATAATTTAATTAAATTTTAAATTGGAATTCTTGAAGTAGCTTTCAAAACTTGTTGCGTACTACTAACATTTACATGGCAAGTAACGAATATTTTAGTTACTCCACATGTTATAAGAATTTATGATATGCAAGATTATATAAACAATTAAATAATTGACTTTAATTTGCATGATGGCCATGATAGGAGTATTAATATGACACAATATTAATACTGAAAAGGACTAGCCATTTGTGTTTGGTACAATAAATAATTTGTAATTTAAAAATTAGATAGTGTTCATACATAACAATACATGATATATGCATTAATTTCGATGTTTTGAAAAACAAAAATAGAAACCTTCAATGTTTTGGAAAATGCATTAACTTCAATGTTTTGGAAAAAAATAAACATAAAATTAAAATACCTTAATAAATCAACTATTATTAATTAATGTATAACTAAATAAATTATTTATTTATTGATTAAATAATATCTCAATTAACTAACAAATTTTCATGGTCTTAAAAGTACTTATTTATAGAGTTTTATATGTGCTTTCATTTTATAGTCCTGGTCAACATTAAATAGCATATCATTACAAACATAACATTGAGATATAATCAGGAAGAAACTATTTCAAATAAACATGTACAAATCAACCGGTTGTTATTATAAACTACCATCTTTTGTGTATAAATTGTAAGAAAAAATTGATTAAAAAAATAAAAGATTTGATTAATTTTAGCTGCTTGTAAAATAACATATTTTTATTTTTATTTTTTGTTTTGGAGAGGCTATTGTAAAATATGATACAAAGTCCATTAAAGAAGAAGAATAAGAATAAAATCTAAGAAATCCACTCTAATTATTTTGAGATTGATAGTAATAAATTGATTCAAATCAATTCTTAAAAGATTGTAAAGGATCTAAACGGAGATTTTATGTATTTTTATGAAAACATTACAACACAAGCATTGCATATAAGAATAAATGATATTGATATTGATATTTCACATCATCTAGGTGAGCATTATATGTAATCTTATCTTTTAAAGAATAATAGACCACATGATGGGACACTTGAACATCATCAATAAGCATATGTCTAATTTGATATAAGATAATTAAATTAAATTTTAACTTGAAATTCTTGAAGTAGCTTTCAAAACTTGTTGCATAGTACTAATATTTACATGGCAAGTAACGAATATGTTATTTGCTCCACATGTTATAAGAATTTATGATATGTAAGATTATATAAACAATTAAATCATTGACTTTAATTTGCATGTTGGCCATGATAGGAGTATTAATATGACAAAATATTAATACTAACAAGGACTAGTCATTTGTGTTTGGTACAATAAATAATTCATAATTTGAAAATTAGATAGTGTTCATACTTAACAATACATGATATATACATTAACTTCAATGTTTTAGAAAACAATAAGCATAAAATTAAAATAGCTTAATAAATCAACTTTTATTAATTAATGTATAACTTAATAAATTGTTCATTTATCAATTAAATAATATCTCAATTAACTAACAAATTTTCATGGTCTTAAAAGTACTTATTTATAGAGTTTTATATGTGCTTTCATTTTATAGTCCTGGTCAACATTAAATAGCATATCATTACAAACATAACATTGAGATATAATCAGGAAGAAACTATTTCAAATAAGCATATAATCAGGAAGAAACTATTTCAAATAAGCATATAATCAGGAAGAAACTATTTCAAATAAGCATATAATCAGGAAGAAACTATTTCAAATAAGCATATAATCAGGAAGAAACTATTTC